ATCAGGCTCCATCCAGCGCAGCCTCCGCAAATCTGCAACCAGCAGTGACACCTTCAAGGCCCTCCTGCTAAAGAAAGGCAGTCGCTCTGAAAGCAGTTTCCGCATGTCTGCAACCGAGATGCTGCGCAGCACCGACCCGCGCTTTCAACGCACCCGCTCCCTCGACTCCTCCTTTGATCCGGCGTCTCCAACATCCGAGAGCCCCTGCTCTTCTCCAGGCCGAAGCAAGAGGGTGGCAGATGACTGGGCGCGCAATGATGGAATGTTTTCAACTTCGCCATCTTTGATAGGCCCAAAATACGGACGATCCCGAACGCCACCATCTGCTGCTAGCAGCAAATACAACGCCCGCTGCCGCATCCTCAGCAGCCCCATGACTGTCATCTGCGAGAGGGATGGAGAACTAACCGACTGTGAAGACCCCGTTTCTCCGTCAAACACACCCCTTCCCATCTCTCAGGACTCAAACAGCACTTTATGTGAGCAGAGCAGCAGTTAGAATCCCAAAGATTTGCTCCTTGGCAAAGGAATAAGGTCTTCTGGGCTCTAGAGGTGGACTCAGAAGACTTAAAGAGCGGTCTTGCCGCCTGCTAATCCAGGCATCGCTGTCTGACGGAGTAGTGGAGGCAGATCTGAAGCAGATCCAGCGCTCGGCTCAAGCAGTAGATGGTTTACTGCTCTAACTGTAGCTCTTCAGTGAAAGAAAAAAGTAACCAGTCTAATCAAACATCATCTTTTTTTCTTGGAGAGAACTCTGCGTTCAGTGGCAATACTAGACTCGTCTTTCCAAAGCTTGGCAGATACTTCTGTCATCTTCTTCATTTCCATCCTTTAACAGTAACAGTCAGATTTGTGTGGCTTTTTTCTGTTTTGATTAAGCAGGTAATGAAAGTTGTGATGAAGGAATTACTATGTGAGTACTTTGTTTTTGGTTAATGTCTGTTGGAAACATCTAAAACTTCACTTAGTCCGCTTTAGCACGCCGGTCTTCAGACAACAAGTTGGAGGAGCACACCGACCAATTTCTACAAGAGACTCTCTTTTCATACCGTTCGGACTATTAGAAGTGTCTGGAAGGGAAAAGGACTTGTGGGTCGATGGATTGGAGTAATGATGAGTTTGTTTGTGGAAACTAAAAAAAAAAAGTTTGTTATTTTGGTGTGTAGGTTTGCACTGTTCATCGTCTTCTTTTATTTGTCATTTAAAACAGAAAAACATCTGTGTATGTTGGTTATTTTAAAGAGTTCATTCTGCTATCTTACTTGAAATAAACGACCGGTGTACTTGTAATTGTTTTGCTTACCAAAGAGCCGAACAGGACACTCTAATACACTGAAATGTGAGGGTGTTTTCTTAGAGTGACTTTTGTTTTGCTAACGCCTAGCGGGCTGATTACTAACCCTCCTGTTTACCTGTTCTCTTTTCTCATGCAGTTTTATAATGTTTTTTATGTACATAGCTACAGAAATGTTAAGTAACAACAACTTATTTTCGAAGAATTTGTACATTTTAGAAACCTTTGCTAGGAGTGGCTTCCTTTTTGTAGAGTATTTATTTTAGCATAGCCAGAATGTGGTTTGATATACCGTAGCTTTTCTGGGATGGGTGCGATTACATGTGCGTCTTCAAGTTCAGATTGGTTATGTCCCGCATCTTCGCCCCTCCTGCTGTGATGGGAACGAGGATCAGAAAAATCAAAGTAGAAGGAAGAATGGCAAAGAGGAAGCGAGCTGCTAACCCTCTGGAGTATGTCTCTGTAATAAAACATGGTGATATTTAAAAACGCTCCATCTGTCTTGTCTGTGTGTTTGATTCAGTGCCACCTGTCAGCCGCCAGCCCAAAGCACAATCTCATTAGCACCGGCACCGACACTCGCACCCATACATCACTGCTTCTGTCACGCTGACCACCGGTGACCTGGAGCGCTGTGTATGCAAAATTATTTTTATAGGGAACAGCGAGACGAGAGGTCACGCATATTTGTTTGTGAAAGAGACGGACAAAAGCATGTTGTTTCTTCACATGCACCTTGTCTTTTGTGCTGAGCGTGTGAACTTGATATTCAGGCAAAGCGTTACCTCAGAAATAAACCTGATGACTGTGCGGGATTGTGTGTGTGTTTGCCTTGTAGGATCGCTTAAGCTTGCGTCCTATACGAGATGAACTACTGATTTTATTTTATATTTATTTTAAAATATTACATTGCAGTGTGTAGCACGGTTGCCTTACACCAAGAAGGTCGCTACTTCGAGCCTCGGCTGTGTCAGTTGGCATTTCTGTGTGTTTACATGTTCTCCCCGTGGTTTTCCTTCGAGTGTTTCCCCCACAGTCCAAAGACATGCGCTATAGGTGAATTGGGTAAGCTAAAATGTCTGTAGTGTATGAGTGTGAATAGGAGTGTATGGGTGTTTCCCATTGATAGGTTGCAGCTGGAAGGGGATCCGCTGCACAAAACATATGATGGATAAGTTGCCGGTTCATTCCACTGTGGCGACCCCAGATATAGAAAGTAACTAAGCCAAAAAGAAAATGAATGAATGATATTTCTGCAAATGCTGCTTAGACATGCATGTAACATATAAATACATAAAACATTGTTTAAAAAACGGTGTCCGCAGGATCTTAAATTTTAGACCCAAAGCAAAATTTTAGGCCTTAAAAATGCTTAAATTAATCATTCTTGAATCAATTTAAACAGGTCTTAATTTCCCTTTATCTGTAAAAATCTACCCAATCTGAACGTTTAACAAAAGTTCCATCTAAATAGTTGACACAATAATTAATTAATTCGATCTACCAATATGCTTTAATTATCTTCCCTACAATAACATTTGTTTAAAAGTCTCCAAGCATTTTACATTTCGTTTAATTTCATCTTTTTTTTTTTTTTTTAAAGAAAAGGAATACAGAAAAAAAGTATATGTGTATTATGAAGGATCAGGCAATCCTCCGTCCATGATTCCATATTCGTTTTCAAACCAAAAAAAAGGAGAGTTTGGGTAGTATAGGTAGAGTTTGAGTAAAAACTTGTTTGGGATGATAAAACTACACATTTTAAGTAAAAATGTTGTCATTTAGAGCTTTTGTGTTACTGAATTGATTAATCAGGGTCTTGCAGATATTTAAGAAACATGCTAAGTAAACATTCTCTTGTTTATTTAAAAAAAAAAAAATCTGAAGTCAGATATTCTGCTTTAAAAATGTGTTTTCTGTGCCGGAACGATGTCTTTATTTTGGTCCAAATAACACACTTCAAGACAAAATTCGCTGTGATGAGCAATTTGATTGTTTGCATCAGACAAAACACGACAGAAATTTAAATACAGCCATTGAGAAGCACAGAATGTTCCCTCACTCACAAAATGGTAAGGTTTGTAATTTATTTAGTGCATAATAAAGCTCTAACATTATTAAATGTACATGCTGATCATATGTTTAGTTTGAAAGTTCAATTTCAAATGGTTTATTTTCAAGATCTGAGGTGAGCTATCTGCTGCTGCTTTCATGGCAATAAATGTCCTGTACAATGTCATTCAAACTCGCATTGTACAGTTTAACACTGATAAAAGCACACAAGGTGTACCTGAGGTGATTATTGTCAGTTTTCTGTTGTTCAGCTGCAAGAAATGGAAACTGTTTTATATATCAATTTGAGGGGTTGGTTAGCACAAAATAAATAAATAAAATTATATGGAAAATATTCCTTATTGGGTGCCATTGCTTTCATTTAGAATACGGTTTAAACCACTCGCTCCTGTCCTTAATCTGGCAACCTGCGCTTGCGTTTGTTTTGATCCACTGGGTGTTAAACCTACAGCACCTTTAACACAATACTAATGCATGTGTTAATATGTTTGATGGTTTCTTTTATATTTAAATATGCTTTTTTTTTTGTAAATACTTAAAAATAAAATGCTCTCTCTTTAGGCTATTTTCCTACAAAAAAAAAAAAAGTGATAAGGAGAATATTCTATCCCAGTGGTTCCCAAAGTGAGGGACAAGGGACAATGACAGGGAGCCGCTTGGTGATTTCCAAAAGTAAACTATTGTAATTACCATATCTTCTCCATAACACACAGAAAATATAAATAGTAATTAATAGTAACATAAAAGCAAAAACATGTAAATGAAAAGTCATCAGCCTTTCAATAATCTTTTTTTAATGGGATTTTCGTTAGATTAACAACACAGCAGTAGTGATTATAGCACCAGATTAAGCTTTCTGAGACATTGTTGGCAATCAAATACATTAAAAATAAATACAACTGAACATTGAAGATTATCTCTGAGTGGCGGTGTCCAAAATTAAACTAGGAATAGTCTTGTGCTGAAAACAATGTGCCCACTAATCTCATTAGGTGAGGTTAATATTAAACAAATTAATAAAGGATTTATAGCCTATTGTTAGTTAGACTGTTGCACTTTTTATGGTGTCAATATGCTTGTGTTTATATGGGCGCAATTGCTGTGTGGGCAACATCTGTATATTTATAACCACATCCGGGGAATGGGGGAAAGTTTGGGAACCCCTGTTTTAACCAAAGATTGAAACAGGTCATTTTTCCTGAGCAATAATAATACAAATACAGAATAGAAAAGCTACTGTAAAAGAGTAACCAGTAACTGTTAAAAATGATGCTACTAGAACTGGATCCTTTGACAGAGTACTCAGCTGAAGAGTTTATTAAAAGAAAAAACTAGACACCTGAAGGGAAAACTAGATTCCAACAGTTTTAGTAACTTTAGTGTATTGATTTCTTCTGAATATTACTAAAAACGCTGGTAATCGGTATTTGCAGAGGAACTCTTCAACTTGTCACTTTTTAAATGTGCAGAAAAGCAGCACTAAACCACAATCACAACTGTCATTCTGCAAGACACGTGCACTTTTATTTTTAACCGCTAGAGGGCCAGAAGTTACAAGCCTAAAAAAGCGTGTCAGTACGCTATTTCAGTAACAAAACGACAATGTACAAAACATTTAGTCAAACTAGTCTTCTATTGTTCCCTTATATTTTTAATTTCAACACTTAGTGCATTGTATGACCAGGTAAAATTATGCATTTACATTTCAAAGCATGAAAAGTGTCAGTAATTCAGTCATGTCATGAACATGAAGTACTTTAAACAAGCATTATCTGTGCATCCATACATTATTAGTAACAAAAAGGTCAGACGACCAACATTTTTTTCCACTGCAAACAGCTGGATTAAAGCAATAATTCAGTCTGATGGTCTATTAGAAATCATTTCAACATGCTTTTGGCATGAGTTCATGGTTAATTTTAGCCCCAATAAAGTGGTAATGCTGATGTAAATATATATTGGTCACTTATGTAATCAACACAGTGTTAATTGTCATATAAAAACATCCAGGCACCTACGGCACAAAATAAACATGCATCAACATGATATTAACTATTGTTAGAAGGACAGTTCAATTCTGTCATCATTTATTCATTCCACATTTGTTCCAAACCTGACTTTCTGTCTTCTGTTGAACACAAAAGGAGATATTTTGAAAAATGTTGGAAGGTAGCACCCATTGACATCCATAGTATATTTTTGTTCCTACTCTGGATGTCTGTTGGTTTTTCAGAATAGCTTGTTTTGTGTCCAACTGAAGAAAGACATTCATCAATGGTTAGAGCCACTTGAGTGTGAGTAAATGATGAGGAAATTCAAGTTCAGACAGACAAATTGACCTTCATTCACATCATAAGGCGAGATGACCATTTGATCAATAGGAGATTTACTCCTCATCTTTGATGAGCCAGACTTCATTCCTACGGCCGGTGAGTTTGAAGGGACTGTCGTATCCTGCTCGGTAATATGGTGCCTCTTTAAATTTCATGCCATCCCTCTTGAGGCTTTCTATGAGTTTGAGAATCTCCTCACGGCAGCTCTCACTGTTAGCAAAGCCACCAAAGGTCCTACAAAACAAGGCCAAACCTACATCAAGCTATGCTGATACAATCTCCTTAAAGTTAAGTTTGACTTGCATCTAAAGGTCCTTAGAACTTTGCAGAGTACATATGAAAGCGTTGTCTATGCTCACCATGGCTGGATGTAGTATTTGATCAGTGTCCCAAAATCCTTCAGGAATCATTCTAATATGCTGATTTGCTTATTATTAATTTTAACAGTTTATGATTCACTTTATTCCTCACTAAATAAAATTATTTATTATAAATAAAAGTATTATTTAGCAAATAATATTGTTGTCTTGTTGTTTTTTTAGTTTTTTGTTTAGCTGTTTTTGTAGTTTAAACACAAATGGTAATGGCATCCTTCAAAAGAAACTGCCTTAAAAGCTGCCCAAGAGTGACAGAGATGTATTTAGGGTTGTATTTTAAAGCTTTAACATACATACAGAGGCAGGAATTAATTTCAACCTCAGCATGCCATGAACAGATGAGTTGTATAAAGTGTTTGGCATCCTTTCATTCATTCATTTTCTTTTCGCCTTAGTCCCTTTAATAATCTGGGGTGAGATTTTTTTTTTATAGTTGTGTGTTTATTAGCAAAGCTCCTTCAATGAAACAATCTTCTGTTTATTCATGAACTGAATTTTCAAGTAGGGTCTGTCTGCAGACTGCAAGACGGGCATAACATGAAGGGGAGTAACTTGTAGTACATTAGAAGCATAACTTGTAGTTATCGGTGACCCAGGTGTCAAAACTATGTTGTAAGCAAGATGCGGTACATCAGTTATTAACGTTTACACCTACTCCACACCTAAACCCAACCATCACAGTTATTAAAGTATATACCTACCACTACCCTAAACCCAACCAACATCATTATTAACATCTACACCTTCCCCAAACCTAAACCTTAACCTTTATAGTTCTTAATGTCTACACCTTCCCCAAACCTAAACCCAAGCTTCACAGTTATTAGCGTTTACACCTTCCCCAACCCTTAACCCAACTTTCACAGACACAGTTATTAATGTCTACACCTTCCCCAAACCTAAACCCGAACTTTATAGCTCTTAATATCTACTCCTTCCCCAATCCTTAGCCCAAACTGTATAGTTCTTACTGTCTACACCTTCCCCAATATTTCTGCCATCTTGGCAACAACATCTTGTTGTGACATCCTGCATGGTTCAATGGAATTTTGATAACTGCTAAAGTTACGTCTCTCTAACTTACTACAAGTTATGCCCCGTTATGTTACACCCCTGTCTTGCACTCTGCAGACAGACACACTTGGGTTGCGTTTGAAACCTCCAACCACTCAGTAAGTACTACATCTGAATTTAAACGTAGTACTCGGCCGTTAGGGCGATGCGGTGGCGCAGTAGGTCGTGCTGCAGCCTCATAGCAAGAGGGTCGCTGGTTCGAGCCTCAGCTGGGTCAGTTGGCATTTCTGTGTGGAGTTTGCATGTTCTCCCCGCATTCACGTGGGTTTCCTCCAGATTCTCCAGTTTCCCCCACAAGTCCAAAGACATGCGGTAAAGGTGAATTAGGTAAACAAAATTGTCCGTAGTGTATGAATGTGAATGAGAGTGTATGGGTGTTTCCCAGTGATGGGTTGTGGCTGGAAGGGCATCTGCTGCATAAAACGTATGCCGGATAAGTTGGCGGTTTAATAAAGGAACTAAGGTGAAAATAAAATGAATGAATAAATGAATGAACTTGTTAGAAAAGTATGTTCTATACAGTATGAATGTGAGCAGTATGAATGGAATTCGGATGTACTACATCCACCATTTTGTCATCATCATGTGACCTACCAGCACCAGATGCGTCGCTTCACTTCCATTCATGAATTTTGTCGGATAGCAGAGCGTGCATGGGATGCGCACTTCAGTAGTAGTCATCCGGTTACTTTCGGATACTGATTTTAGAACTCTATGAAATCTGACATACTACTGAGTTTTGTGTACTATATAGCAGTGTTTCTCAACCTCGTTCCTGGAGGACCAACAGGCTCTGCACATTGTCCAAGACTCCTTAAGCAAACACACCTGATTCAGATCATCAGCTCTTTAGCAGAGACTGAAAGACCAGCAATGGCTGTGACAGACAAAGGAGACATCCAAAACATGCAGTGTTGGTGGTCCTCCAGGAATGTGGTTAAGAAACACTGCAATATAGTATGGAAGTATACGGTTTCGGATGCATCCTTGAATTTTTCCCTCTGGCGATTTTCCTGGTTTCTTGGCGTGTATTTAGACAATTTGTGGGTTTCTGCGAGAGCGCCCTCTGGCCTTCAAAGGAAGTCATGCCGTGTTTTCTTGAGAAGATTTGCATGGCATTTGCAGCTTTGCTCATTCATGTGTGTGATTTCAATTCGATTAATTTCCAGCCCTTCAAATTCAGCCTCTCGGCAGTCTACATGTGTTTTGTTGACCCATTATAAACATACACGGCAAATTTCTTCATATACACATTATACAAATCAGAGTTTGTTCTAATTGGCCTGTTATTTTCTCTGGGATTTTACACTCAAAGGATTTATATGAGAACATGTAAACAATGGTGTTTGAGGCTTATGGTATTTCAATGTACTAAACTTCAAATATTCCGCTACGCCTGAGTATCTAGATTTTCATTATATTGCTCCTTTAATCTACAATTTAAAATCCTGTGACATTAACATACCTGACGAACGCAGTGAGCTCTTTTCTGCTCTCGATAAAAACATCTGGGTCAGTGGGTTTGGGAGGGTCAGCTTGATGTTCCTCAGGGATGTAAAAGGACACAGTGAAGGTGCTTTCACATGCAGGTCCCGCTCCAGGGTCAATCAAACAACTCACCGGTGTCGTCATCTCCACCTTACTCTCTGATAGATCACATACAGGACGGATGGTCAAATAAAGTCCATAAACAAAGTAGTTCATCTGAGTGTTTTGCAGAAATAGTGTCAACTGGTCAATCATTTGCACAACTAACTCTAAGGGAACACAACCCATCACATGCTTTTTATTATTATATAGTTTTCTTGAGATTACCTTTATTGTAGTCATGTAGTTCAGAGAAGCATCCATATCCATGTAAAAAAATCATTTTGGCATCTCACCCATAAGTCCCTATTGTGCTAGTTTTCATGGTTGTTATGTACTCATACAAGAAAAAAAATCATAATCATCTTATTTATGTAGTTTATATAAATGGAGAAGACTGCCATTTTCTAATACTTGCACTTTGAAACCTATTTTCAAGAGTTTGCATAAAACAAATGATTTTTGATGATAAGCTCTCATTTTAGAAAAGATGGTTTTGATTCAAGACCCTTAGATTTATCTTTTCTTTTACAATCCAGAGGAAAAAGACAGACTATTTCTCAGTTGCAAGTTGAGATTTCTCATAATTTAGTTTACATATTGCAATTCTGACTTTATTCAGTATTTATATATCTGAGCTCAGAATATATATCTTTTTATTTATATATCTGAACAGAAACAAACTCAAAACCTTTTAAGAAAAAGTCACAGCTAAAAGCTCCAACTCTAAACTCAGAATTCTGGGAAAACATCAGAATTATGCTACTTTGACTTTTTTAGAGCGGTGACCATTTCTCCAATACGGGCTTCAGCGTCAGCGCTTGACTGAAGGCGTGTCTAAAGTTGGGGCTAACGCGATCGTCATAGCAGCATCAGCCAATGAAATTCAGTCAGCAATAGGCCACTGTCTAGCTGGTGTATTTGCATACAGCGATCTGAATGGCTGATGCTTCCGTCGTTGAAAAGTTGAGCTAGTCCCAACTTCTGCAGCGAGCAACGCCTCTGAAGCGGCGCAGACGGATCCACAATGCAGTTCGTCAACGCCTGACGTCACCAATTCAAAGTGAAAGCGAAGCGTTGATGCTGACGCCTCATGTGAATGGGCAATTTTTTGTACAATTTTTGTAGCAATTTTTATTTTCTCGAATTAAAACACTGTCATTCACAAATTCTTGAAAGTCACAATCACGCCTTTTTTGTCTCATTCAGAATTCTGAAATATGAAGTCCAAATTTAAAGTTCTGTGGCAGAAACTAGTGTCCACAGGAAAATGAATACTTACTCTTTTCATTACTGCCCTGAATGTATTTGAAGAGTCTTCTAAAGCCTGTGCTCATGGCTTGGTCCTGCTCCATGCCAGTCACAACTGTGCTTACCCAGTTTGTTGCTTGATAGGTGCGGACTTCATAGTCATCACCCTGAAAAGTATCAATTCATAAAATATGACTACACTAGTCAGATTTTCAAGTTGAATCAAATGAACAAGTCAATTTAACATAAATTACATTAAAAGCTTTCAAAGCTTAAAAACAATTGAGTTAAAATGTTATTAACTTAGGTTAAATAAGTTATCAATAACATAAAGGCATACGTTGTCATGATTTACAGTGCTCGGCTAAATTGAGTTCTCCCTATTTTGAAAATGTATATTTGTATTCAATTCTCAGTGAATAAAAGCATTTAAACAAAACAGATTTATTAAACAGATTGATTTGTTAAAATAAAATTTTAGTCACCAAACTATTTAGATAAGATGAAAAATATTACAATTTAATAAAAAAAATTAAAAATCAAACATCGCACACACAAAAATTACAACCTACAAAATTTGTATTGTAAATTTTAAATTTGTATTTATTATTTTTCTACACATAATTTTGGTTGTACTAGTTTTTTGACCGTTATCGTAAGTTATTTTGTTAAATAAGCTCCAGATTTGGCTTCAGTACTGACTAATCTAATGTATATGCACAAATATAATATTGTATAGCTTCGTATTAAAATATGAATATGAAAGAGAGATTTGTGAGGGGTGTACTCATATATGCTGAGCACTGTATTGATCAAATAGTTTTTATTTTAGAATGTAGAAACATATAAGGCATTACAACAACATCTGCTGCAACATAGACAGATTACAATAAAAAACAATAAGCAAGCTTTATCTTTGCTAGGTGATGAGAACCAGAAGTAAATATTTAACAAATCCAAAGTCTGCCTTAAAGTAAAGTCTGCAAGGATTCTGGCAAAATGACACATTTACACACGTGAACTGTTTTTATATGAGTTATACACTAACCTTACTCTCCTGAGCTGTGTATTTGGGGTTTTGGAGTCCAGTAGAAAACAGAGTTTGACCGATGGCTTTAAGCATCTCGACTTAAAACTGTAATGTTATGCAAAATTAAACAGATTGATAGTCATGTAAATACAGTTTGAAAATGGCAATATGTGAGATGTGAGATCTACTCATTTGAGCAAATTAGTCCATATTTCTATCTGAAGTGCCTTTATCATTACAAATATTTTTGAGATGGATTTGATATACTAAACTTTTATATTCTAAAGTTAGTATGGTTTTAATAAAAAGTGTATGCGTTATTCCAGAAAATAATTCACTTTTAAATACAGACTGAACCACTTAGTACACATACTACAAGATTTGATTTGCATTTACTTTCATGTGGTTTTATCTCACACTATAAATGTTTTAAAAAAATAAAAGGTAGCGCAATCTCTTTTCCCTTACTGACATAAATGTAATCGAACTGTGCAGAATTTACCGTAAGCGAAATAACTGTGAAGAAGCCACCCTTTAACTAAATTACATATTTATTAGTCTTCAATAATACAAACCTACCTGTCCGCTGTTGACAGATTAAAAGCAGAAAGCGACTGAACAACCAGAAAAGATGGAGAGCTGAATTTATTCGCCCAACACACACACGCGCACGGGTGTGTTATAACGCTTAGATAGAGAATATACAGTTTCGCTGTTAAATAACTCTACGCTTAAGTAACGCTGACAGGACTACTTCCGTGTTTTCATGTTACATCACTCCCATGCGAAGGCTCCGATTGGTTGTGACGAATATTTTTTAAACAATCAAAAACACGCCTTAGCAACGCTGCACTCTTCTGAAGATGAAAATTACACAAGTTCCTTCTTTAAAAAACGAGATAAAACATCAAACCAAATGGCAGTTGATCTTTGTGGTTTATTTATTTTTTAATTTAAATAGTATTTTGTCTAAAGCATGTTTAAATATACATAAACACTTGAAAGGCATCATGTTACGGTGTAGTAAAATATCAGGTCAACTAGTTTCAGCTTGCAAACACCATTACTTCAAAGCCATATTGTTCACCACCACATCAATACTTTATTACAAACAAACAATTTCTGACTTGCTTTTCCCCCCAAGTCCATTCACATTAGTCACACAAAACTGTAAACATTTTTTTTGTCAGAGGAACATTCTCAAAGTGCATAACCAGCCAAAGAGAGAGTGTGTAACCCATCCTGAACAGAATATAAGCTATTTGTAGTGAATACTTATAAATATAATAAATACTGATATCAACATAGATTTAATCCCAAAGTCTTCTAATTAAGAAATGCAGCTATTAACATGACCTGAGCACCACAAACCTGTGAACAAAATTCAAAGAAATAAAAATACACTTTTTTTATTATAACAGGCCCCAATTACACCTATTAAGATGTGTTTTGGTCGATCAGACCACAAGTAGTCAAGGGGGAGAATCACATTCAGTTACACCTGCTGTTTTATACCACTCCTTTCTCCAATTTACTGTTATGAAGCTGAGGATCTATAGATTATTATTATAAATAGGTCTATTTTTGGATCCTTTCTGAACATTCATTCATTTTCATTTTCGGCTTAGTCCCTTTATTTATCAGGGGTCGTCACAGCAGAATGAACCGCCAACTATTCCAGCATGTTTTACACAACAGATGCTCTTCCAGCTGCAATGTGTATGGGAAAAAATCACTCAAATTCATACACTATGACCAATTTTGTTCACCCAATTTGCTATACTGCATGTCTTTGGACTGTGGGGAAACCGGAGCACCCTAAGGAAACTCACACAAACACAGGGAGAACATGCAAACTCCACACAGAAATGCCAACTGGCCCAGCCAGAACCAGCAACCTTCTTGCTGTGTGTTAACCACTGAGCCACTGTGCCACCCCTTTTCTGAACACTTACTAATATTTTGGGGAAAGAAAGGTCACATTGTTTTTCTTATGAATGCAAAAACAATGACAATATGATATAAAGAGCAGCAGCTGTTTTTTTTTTTAAACCAAAGACATAATATAGATTTAAAGGTTATAACTCTAGCTAGCTAATGCCTTTCAACAACACATGATGTGATGTTCATGAATGAGGTCAGAAGACAGACAGCAGGAGTTGTCTGAACACATTGAACCACCATGACACAACAAATGTTTACACAATCACAAAGAAACCTGCCGAAAGAATAATCAATGACCTCTGGAAGTGGACAAAATTGGACAAGCTCAAAGCTCAAATCCTTTTAGCCAATGTGTCTCCCAGATGGTCACTTGATCTTCAGACCGGTGTTTTTCCTGCGTGGTGGCTCTCTTTGGACCTGTCTGGCTCTGGTACCAAACCCCAGGGACTGAAGAGATTCAGTGAGAAAGCGTTGAGTGGGGGACACACACAGCATTATCAGGAGCTTGGCATCTCCTCCTGTGGCAGAAATGAGATCAGAGGTCAAACGGATGGTCAGGTGAGGTTTGAAAGAGAAGAACATGTGCAGGCTCTTTCTATGACACTCATTGTGGCATGTTAAAACTTGACTGGTTTAACAGGTTTTGACTGTGGAAGGGAACATGTGCAACCATGCACAAGTTTAAAGAGTTAGTTCACCTAAAAAGGAGAATGTACTATTTAGTCTCACTCAAGTGGTTCCAGATCTTTATGAGTTTCTTATTCAGTTAATATTCATTCACCTTCCTTCAGCTTAGTCCCTTTATTAATCGGGGGTCACCACAGCTGAATGAACCACCAACGTATCCATCATATGTTTAACACAGCGCATGCCCTTCCAGCTACAATCCAGTACTGGGAAACATCCATACACACTCATTCACACACAAACTTCTACACTACCGCCAATATAGTTTATTCAATTCATCTATGGAGTATGTCTTCGGAAAGTAGGGGAAACCGGAGCACCTGGAGAAAACCCACACAAACACAGGGAGAACATGCAAACTCCACACGAAACTGCCAACTGACTCAGCCGGGGCTCAAACCAGCGACTTTCTTTCTGTGAGGTGAATATGCTAGCCACTGTGACACTGTCCCGCCCTGAAAATAATGTATTTTGAAGAAAGTTGAAAACCGGTAAACATTGACTTCCATAGTAGGAAAAACTCATTTTGTTGAAGTCAATGGTTACAGGTTTCATTCATTCATTCAATTTCTTGTCGGCTTAGTCCCTTAATTAATCCGGGGTTGCCACATAGGAATTAACCGCCAACTTATCCAGCAAGTTTTTACGCAGCAAATGCACTTCCAGCCGTACCCCATCTCTGGGAAGTTACAGGTTTCAACTTTCTTCAAAATATCTTCTTTTGTGTTCAACAAAAAAAGAAAGTCGAACAGTTTTGGCAAAAGTGAAGGGAAAGTAAATGATGACAGAATTAAACATTTTTCAAACATTGTCACTGGACAGTCCAAGATTGTCCCAAAAATAGTATTAGAGACTTTTCGGCTTAGTCCCTTTATTAATCTGGGGTCGTCACAGCGGAATGAACCGCCAAATTATGTGGACACTACGAACAATTTAGCCTACCCGATTCACCTAAACTGCATGTCTTTGGACTGTGAGGGAAACCGGAGCACCCGGAGAAAAAAATCTCAAATAAGGGGAGAACATGCAAACTGGAATGCCAACTGAAATGCCAAATGACCCAGCCGAGGCTAAAACCAGCGACCTTCTTGCTGTGAGGCAAACGTGCTACCGACTGCGCCACCATGCAGTCCACTTACAATATTGATCAATAAATAATATACATAAAGGATCATGTTTAAAAATGTACTGGAAATAAAAATGAATCAAATAATATTTGATCTGCAAAATACATGGTAATAAAACAAACTACGAACAACTTCAAAGTTCTCGATAATATCATGTTTCAAGAGTTCACAACTAGCTGATGTCTGATAAATAAAAATGTGTTTGGCATGCTGTCCCGGTAGAGAGCTGGGAAGATCCTCAAGCCTGGATCTCCCATTTCATTGGGAGAGAGAGGGAAGTCTGAGCTCAGGTAAGTTTCAGCAGCTCCCCTCTATTAAAAGAGCCATGAAACTCCCATCTTTCAGTTTCAGTCTACCTCAGAATAAAAAAAAAAAAGCTTCATGATGGATGTGGAGCGTTGAGAGTAGAGGGAGGAGTGGGTGTGGCCCGCAGAGCAGGGGAAAAAGAGTGGAGCAAACAACTGTTGTCAGTTGGCTTACAAAATAAGACACAAATCCAGGAGACCCATGATTTTATAGTCTACAAAGTTAAAATGCAGAGAAATAAACAGTAATTTAATACCCTGCTACATTTGCTATTCGTAGTTTCGTTTACATATAACCACAATTTGGTTATATCATCATAAAGATAATCGTGCAAACACTATAAACGAGGAATACTTCTCTCCTCCTCAATCCCTGAGTCTGAATGCAGACACAGTAGCAGTACAGCAGGTCTCTTGCCCTGTCTATTTCAACCATTAGCCCTGCTAGTAATCCTAAAAATTTAAAAATAGATGATGTGTCTGAATGGTAATGAACTCAACTGATAAAAGACAAAGTCTCCCATTCTTCAATTCTCAGGGAATCATCACGGGGAAATCACAGGGAAAAACATGCAACAAACCCTGTGGATCATGGAAACAAACATATACAAACCTTTATGAATGGCTAAATGCTGCTTGCTGTGCATGGACACGGTCTAACCTAATCATTGGGTCTCACAGTTTGGCAGGTCTGCCTTGCCTCGAAAAGCTCGTGCCCTCATGAATAATTAAGAAGCAGGGTTTTCTCATAGGATAAGAAAACTTTGCAATGAATAATAATGAGAAACTGACGTGTCATCACTTCACTAGCAGATTCGTGCTACATCACCGATTTTGATCCCACCCCAAAAATTATTTTACACCCAGAAAATGAAATTAGCTGACCAAAGCTCAAAATTATCCAGTTTTCCCAACATTTAAAGCTGACAGGTGCTAATGTCGTCTTAAATGATGCTCAACACACACAAATCTGTTAAAATTGCTAAAAAGTACATAATAAGCACCTGACCTTCTCTATATTAGTTTATAAATAAACATCACTTAAATAAATGGATGGAGTGTATAATGGGTGGAACTGAAGGTATGAAATGACAAGTGACAGCAAACAGACAGAATGATAGATGGACGGTATAAAACAGTATTAGTCAGTAGACCTATATGAATATAATTGGTCAGTATTGTAAGATTTAAGATATCGCTCTTGTTTTACAGACTTCAGAGTGCACATGTAAGGCTGTTGTGTTTCTCAGCTAATCTGCCTCTCACCTATGGCGTCCTGTAGCAGATGTGTTAGTTTGCTGTTTCGGTAGGGTACATGAGGCCTCCGTTCAGCTAGAGCTCCCAGAACATCAGACAGAGCTGAGAGACTGCGGTTTATACAGGAGCTTTCCCACAGAGCTGCTCCCGTCACTCCTGACATCCCTGAACACACACACATTTGACCTGTCACATCTTTAAATACAGCAGCACTTTATATATAGCAGCCTTTCATGAAAATTTAACCTAAGACTTGACACTCCATAAACCTTCACTAATTTCCTGATAACTAAATATGCTTGTTCTTTGTTTTATTTGATTGTAATAAAGCTTAAAGTCACAGGTTACCCAAAAAGTACAGTCTGACTTCATTTTGACTTCACCC